AGTATCAGTGGCTTGAAGATACCAAACCCAAAAAGTCATTATGACTACGACTACTTAACTCTCTCTTCACCGAACAAGGTTCTGTGAAGTATGGCACCGTACTGTACAGAACAATGCTGTATTTTTGTTCACTGCTTGTACTGTAACTCTGCTTCACTAGCTAGCTGACGTCCTTTTAGATCCTCTACGGTAGGGTACCGGTATGTAAACACAAGTTTCCTGAGTTTCAACGGTAGATTTTTCATTTCGTGACACTTGGGTTCTTTTCGTGTCTCCACGGCTCACTTGTTATTCTGACTTRTTCATTCTTATTCCGGCGCACCGACCCGTACAACTTAATCGTATGAAGAAASTCTTACGATCCGACTAGACTAAGAGTACTGTACGGTACGGTTCAGTACCTTGAGGTACTGTGCAACTGGTTGCTTAYCCTATTTCTGTATTGAGAAAGAGCGGTTACACCCCAGAATGGGACCCTTCACATGAAAAGTGACTATTGAACATATCACGCACACRGAACAATCTTAACTCTAGTCAGAACTGCTGTATTTTCAAACTCTGGCCGCTACTACGTCACCATCACTAACACGAAATAGTAACAGTGTCGGTACCATATTTAATAAACCGTAGTTTGTTGAACAAGCCTGTTTGCTTCAAAGCCGAAAAATATCAACAGAAATGATTGCTACGCATTCTTGCTCGATACGTCTAGGCCGCGTGGCCGCCAGAAAGCTAACGACGAATAACATACAACGAGTCCCATGCGCATTGTTGGGATCGTTTGCGCCGGGATCGGCGTCATTGCCATCGTCGCCATCTCGCCTCTGCGAAAGGAGGCTGCACACATACCAGCCCATGGATGATCTGTTCCAGTCTTCGAAAGACCAAGGGCACGTCGTTATCGGACAAGACTTTGTCGGCAAGAMAGCAAGCATCAGACGGGTCTTCGGACCTGGAGCAAACGCCCAGGCATTGCTAACCTGTGGCGGAGAAGAATTGGCACAAAATGCTTCCTTTGATCCGAATTACGAGATGTCCAAGGACTGGATTAGATCGCGGGCAGTAGGACCAGCAGTCTTGTCGTCGACCCTTATTTCCGGACTTGTTGGGGCCTTGATCGAAGCGAGCTTTCCCCAAACTGTGCCACAGAATGCTTCGCTCAGTTTTCTCCGGCCGTTGATTGTTGGCATGGAAGTTGCGGCCTCAATCCAGGTGGAATCGATCAGCGAATCGAAACGGGACGACAAAACAACCAGTGGGGCAGCGAACGGATCCGCCGAGAAAGGCTACGAAATTCTACTGTCAACCCGGGTGATTCGTGTACAGGACGACGCCGTTATTGCCGAAGGTTACAGCACGGTCTGGATTCCTGGTTGTTTGTAGCGCAATAGAGCAGCATGATGATGTGCCTTGTACATTCTTTAACAGCCTGTAATTTTTAAAATTTTATTTTGTCAAACGCAAACGAATGAGCGCCAGCAAACTATAACTCTCTTTGTTATTTGCTGCGTCGTTGATGATGGTACCAATGCTTTGCGTCGCGCCTCGTATTGTGTGACTGTTGAAACTCGCTATGAAAAGTCTACGGCATCTTCAAACAACCAAAGTTCACTGAACTGCGTGGAATTTCTTCTCTATAATTATTTGTATATTATGGTGTTTATTTTCGTTGTTGTCAAGCACCGGCAAGGATGGCAAGTTGATACAGTCGGAATCATAACTTGAGTTTGCTGTTTCCAATAATGRCAGGCACAAAGACATGCTCTATGCAAGGACAACCAATCGATCTAGTTTGCCTCTTCCAACTCCGGTAAATCGTCCAGATCNATGATTGGGATACACAACGTCTACGAGTATCCTACGCTACCTACTGTACCATACAGAATTTCATTTCCTACGAACTTGAAACTACGACGAAGCATCCCGCACCTCCATCACTATTTCTAACGGTATCAACATTCCAGMAGTCGTCGCATAATATAACGATGATATGAAATAAGAATAATATGATGAGCACCAAGCGACCAAGAGCGCCCCACCTGCATTAAACTCTTAAATCAAACATCGCAGTGTTATGTAGGAATCGATCTCAATCGATTGATATCATTGAGAATTCAATGGAACCATCGACCGTGAATTGCGACTCGAGACACGCAATTGACATTATTATTTTTTGCTTCGTTCAAAGCGACTTCACACCGCCATTATTTCAATGAAGGAGTCCTTGGTATTCTCCGGCTCTAATATAGTCGTAATTCTTGATTCATTGAGACACTCTACCGAGGAATTGGACAGAAGGGTATTGAGATTGACGGAATTGGTTTGCGACGAAAGCATTTGTGACGAGGATGTCCAAGCAATACAACAATTACTTTCCGAGCACCACTGTGTTATTCATTTGTCGAAGTTGGAACTTCCACGCAATGGATTAACGTCAAAGTCTGGACGTTCCCTTGSCTCCATTGTATTGCTTCAGCACGAAACATTGAAGTGTCTGAGTCTTGCACACAATCCGTTTGCTTCCATAGGTCTTGATGAAATGCTAAAGCCTCTGGTTGCGCATCCTGCAACTGCAACCAACCTAATYCACTTGGATTTGACCAATACACAATTGGGAAGCAAAWGCGGTCCTCTCATKAAGCAGCTACTAAGGAGATGCAATTCCATCCAAGAGTTGAATCTTACCAATAATTCCCTCGGTCCCAAGGGAATCAAAAGTCTGAGTGTCGAATTGAAAGAAAATTCGGCACTAAAGATTCTGAATTTATCCCGAAACAAAATCAAAGCGAAAGGAGCCRCTTTGCTTGCTCAGGCTATTGGGGATCCAGAAAGTGCCAGCGCTCTAAAAAGTTTGGATCTCACTTGCAACGCCATTGGTCACCTCGGAATGAACGCGCTCTCACGAATTTTGGCTGTCAATCGAACCATTGAGTCCTTATACGTCGGAATGAATAACATTGGCCCGGAAGGAGCAGCTAACCTAGCGATTGCAATCAAACGCAACCATACACTCCAAGTTCTGCACATTGAAAATAATAATATCAAATCAGACGCTGCATGCCTGCTCTTCGATCAACTTCGAGGTGATCATAATCGCACCGTGGAAAATCTCAACCTRGCCTGGAACAACATCGGAACAAAAGGTGCGAACCACTTGGCAGAGACATTGAAGAGCAACGGCACTTTGACRAGCATAGACTTGACACACAACCAAATTGGATCCGATGATCTGCTATTATTGATCGATGCTCTTTCGTACAATTTTTCACTGACCCACTTGAATGTCTCGAGCAACCAAATCGACGACCGCGGAGCTCAGGCAATTTTTAACGTACTTTGTGACCCAAGGCCTCGCGCGCTGCAATCGATTACATGTGAAGATAATCCAGACATATCCTTAGMGGTTCTCGTGTCCCTATCACGAGTTCCACAAATTCGTCGAAATCGAGAGCACTGGTTGGACAAGCTGATTACCAATCTTATCGGGCGCAAAGTTCATRGTATAAACTTGAAGAATCGAATCGTTGGGAACGAAGAATTGCTGTTACTAAATGAGGCCCTAAACGACATCGAATTTCGACTGAAACCTCCACTGATTCAATCAATTCGGATTCGTAGCTCTTTACTTACTCATATCAGTCTGGTTCCTTTCTTTGAACCTTGCAAAGCCCCGCTGTTACGAATATACTTAAGCGACTGTTGTGATGCTGGGGAAGAAGGAATGAAAGCACTTGCAACTCATTTAGCCTYTTCGAAAAATTTGCAAGTCTTGTCGTTGACAAATTGTTGTATAACACCAACGCATGCTGCATGGATTGCCGAAGGKCTGAGACAAAATACGACACTGCGACGTCTGAATCTAGACGACAACCAAATTGGMGACAATGGGCTAGCAGAGATTGCGCTGGCTCTTCCACACAAAACGTTGACATCTTTATCGGCGAATGGAAACAATATTACAGATTCTGCAATGGRTTCAAAAGGTTTGATAAGCATCGATGAACTGCATCTCAAAAACAACCACGTGACAGATCGCGGAGCTTTGAGTCTCGCCAGGAATCTGTTAGACAGCAAATGCTCTTTGACCTGGCTGAACCTGAAAGGTAACCATGTCACGGAGAAGGGGGGTGCAACGATAGAAATGTTCTTGCCTCACACTATTCCAGGAACAATGATTGTTGAATATTGAATAATCATATTTCAATATAATGCTCTTTTAAATTCTATATTTTGTTGAGATTACGGCGCTTGGCTTGATCCTGACTGACTTCAAGGAATATCATTTGAGAGCTGTTTAGGTGTTTTCACATTTTAAGGGAATCCATATTGTTGTAGTGATATCTATCTTTCTAATGTTCAGCATAAAGATTATCGCCCCCGTGAGGGTTAGAAGATGATAGTTTCTAATGATACAGAAAATGTTGCCGGTTTACTCGCATCGGTATATCGTATCATTTCGACTCAATCGATTCACTCATATGAAAAAGAACCCATTTGAACTTACATAATCGTGAAGTACGGTAACGTACTGTATGTACGTGCCAGGGCGTAGAGTAGTGGCTCGGTTTCCAGGTAAACCGCTCTCACATTCAATTTCATCTCTTGCATCTTTTTCGTATGCTAGATGGAATAGAACAGGATCGAATAGACCCATTGAGAATCTGGAACAAACCAGTGGTTTCGGTCGGCATTAGAAATCCAAGTTACTGTATGATTAGCTCAAAAAGTGAACACCCTTTTTACCTAGAAAAATAATAAATGCGCTACGGTCTCCTATTTTCTGCAATTGCATCGACTGGTCGAGCTTTCTCGTACAAAATCCCATTACCGTCCAAAACGAAAGTGACACTGGCTTCTACGACGGTGGCATTGTTTTCAACATCGTTGGGGTGYGTGCAAGATTCCACAATGAGCAGTTCGTCTTGCGGACCACCGATATCTACGACAGGAACTGGATATCTTAACGCTGTAGATGCGGCAGCTCTTGACGTCGAGCTCATGTCCACCCCTGGGTTTTCGTTGGAACAGCTAATGGAACTTGCGGGTTTAGCGGTGGCCGAGGCCGTGTACCAGGTCATAAAACCGCCTTTGAATCCCGAGGATCCAAAGCGAAAGATTCTCCTCGTATGCGGACCGGGAAACAACGGAGGCGACGGGCTGGTGGCATCGCGACATCTGTATTTTTTTGGATACGACTGTGTGGTGGTGTATCCAAAAAAATCGAAGAAGCAACATTTCATCAATCTTGTCAAACAATGTGAAGACGTTGGAATACCCGTCTTGGACGAAATGCCCACCGATACGGAGTCCTTTGATTCCATCGTGGATGCCATTTTTGGCTTCAGTTTCAAAGGAGAGCCACGCGAGCCATTTGCAACGATCCTCAATCAGCTGAAAGAAGTGCAAGAAGCRGACAACACKGTGCAAATRGTRTCCGTGGATGTTCCTTCAGGGTGGAACGTTGATGAGGGAGATGTGGCAAACACGGGCTTTGTTCCAGATACAGTGRTCAGTCTGACTGCGCCAAAATTCTGCACAAAGGAATTCACAGGACGCCATTTTATTGGTGGCCGTTTCTTGCCACCAAAAATTGCAAACAAGTATCAAGTCCAAATGCCTCCGTACGAGGGAGTTTCTCAAGTCATGGAAGTCACTCGGGAACACATCGAAGGCAAATCACAAACAATGAAAGAATCACCTACGGCTGCATCTGACGATTCCTGGAGAGAGGAATATGCCGCCTATCTGGCTGAGAAATACCAAGATTCCGAAGCCAATCCCGCAACTCCTCCACATTTGAAGGAACCTGATGACCAAGACAAAAAGGAGTCTTCTGAAGAAACATGGGAGATGCAATATGCTGCATATTGTCAAGAAAAGGAAGCTCGATTGGCTGAAGAAGACGCCATGCGCAAAGAGTCCATTCGAAAGGAACGTTCCGAATAGGATGCTGCATACCCATATACAAAGAACAAGTGAACAAATTTTATTACTGTAGACAATATTCCACTTCTCCAAACGTAGCAAATTTTAGGGGTGATGTCCCCTAAACAAACTGGGACTGAATTCAAGTGGAGGCAATGACACAATGATAAACTGAGCACCATTTTCACTGCAACAGACAAAGCTTTTGCACTACTATTTTTGTACACTGACTGCAAATTGTTGAACAATTCTGGGAGTGGAAAGACAACCAGAAAACAATTCACCAACAGCAGGATTGGTAACAAAGAGGTAGTAACAAAGAGGACTGGAGCTACGGGGGATATATGCTGTTCAGGATGTTAAAAAAAGAGTGGAAGATACTGTGGCGGCAATTGAACAAATACTAAGAAGGGCAGTATACAGAAGAGAAAACAGAGAGGACAAGGAGGATAGAACTAAAAGAACATTGCGCAAAATCAAAAAGAATTTTGATCAGAAAATATTGGGAGGACAACGAGATCTTAAATGAGCAAACTGAGGTCGAAGATACTACAACCAGTATGAATACCAAACTTAAGTACTACATTAAAAATAATGACACGCTATGTATACCAAAAAGAATGACAAGAGCAATACCAYAATACATGCAACAAGATTTTCTTCACAGATTAGATAGAATTGCTGAACTGTGTAAAAAAATTGGCACCAGCAGTAGAAAAGTTGTCAATACTATGCGGCAGAGAACTGGCAAGAGGGGAGAGGAATTTGAAACCAACTAAAGGAATAAAAGTAGTCAAAATAGGAGTTTTGTGACAACATGAGACACTTGTCACATAATTGAGACAATTTGCTTGTCATCAGATAGAGAACAAAAACYGCTTCGAATAAAAATTGGAAACGACCATGAGAACAGGCATCGAACTCCTCATGAGAAATGAATGGTTCAAGAACATCATGTTCTTCCACAGATGAAGGCCAGGTACTAACTTAACAGCAAAATAGTAGTATCAGCAGTTTGTGTAACGTAGTACTAAAAGGTTAGGGTACTACTATCTAGTGTGAGTAGTACTCCTACTACTAGTACTACTAGTACTAGTACTATGTTATGACGACTCATATTAGTCGACAGATGAGTACTAGTAGTACTACTACTACTAGTACTAGTATTACTAAGAGGATGATTTGCACTGGTACATGAGAGGCCTAAATAAGGTTCTGGTTTGCACTGCAGATTTAGGTTAGTGGTTATTCGTTATTCACTACTACTACTAGTACTAGTAGTAGATTCTCGTGATTTCAGCTGACTACTACTACTACCTACTATCCTGGAGTTGTGCTAGACGTTGCTTCTACTAACCAATCGAAACGAAGTGGCTGCGATCGTTTCCGTCTGTCAATCATTCCCTCTTCGTCGTGTTCAGCGCTGCTCAGTGCGAGTACGGTAATTTTTTGTTTTGGTTACTTTCGACCATACGAGTACCGGTACCAGGTACTTTCTCGTCCAGTACAGTAGAACAAGAGAAGCCATGCAATAAACTTGGATCTTTTCGTCCGTTGGTGTTCGGCCCGCATTCATGAGTACTCGTACCGGTACGGCAATTTCTACTTGCACTACTTGTTGATTCGTKCTAATACATCTACCGCTAACAAACTTCCGCGGTCGTCTCTTGACAGCTTCGCAAAGAACCGAAATCGAAAGAAAGACAAGACAACATCGTAGCGCAATCGATTCTCAAACAGATCAACCATCATGCTGCGCAATGTTTCGGYTTTAGGTCTCCGCCAAAGTTCTCGGCTCAAGCAGTCCTCGACACTGCTCCGTCTCCTGCCCGCAAAAAACAGCAATGCCTTGAACAAATTACACTTCCAAAATCGCGACATATCTCAGAAAGTGTTAGCACCGCTGGCGTCGACGATAGGATTGCGATCACTGAGTAGCCAGGCCCAAGAAGAACCGCCTAAAAAGGATGGCGGCGATCCCGACACAAAAGAAATTGTCTTGACACCMGGCCAAAAAGTCGCAGCTGCAAGCCGTCTCACCATGTGGGCTGGAATTTTTGCCTTTGCTTGCGGATGCGCCTACTTTATTGGAAAGGAATTGATCCCAACCAAAATGAGTCCAAACAGCGTCTTCAATAGTTCTAGCAAGGTGATCAGGGCGAACTCACAGGTGACAATGAAGTACGGCGAGGGGATCAAGTTCTACGGAAAGGACCATGGTGGTCACCGAGAAGGGCGCCGCAACTTTATCGAACACACCCAATACACAGATCAGGAAGACGGATCGAAACGAACCCGCGTGCGCTTCAATATGGAGGGACAATTTGACTCTGCAATCTGTTTTGCCGAGGTCTCGAGCGACATGCCGTCGGGTGAATTTGTTTACGTCTTGGTGCAAGACAAGAGATCGGGACGTGTCATTACCGTCATCGATAACCGAGCAGCCCTTACTGCGAAACGAATGGCCGGTGRCAACCAGGAAACAGCTAATGCTATGCAACAATTGTTGGGAGGAAACAACAAATAACTTAATTCGATAGTAATTGACGTCGATTGGTCGTTTTTTCTGCTGGAATGCAGATATGAAAGATGATTGTATGCTTTCATCCATTGCAATTAGAAGTCGGGTCCAAACAATTTGGATTGATAATGATACCGAACTAGGCATATGGAATGTCTTAAAAGTAGTATTGATTTTGGCCGGAACGTCTCCAGCATGATTCGCAATATGGTTGGCAGGCGAAACTTGAATTTCCCCATTCAATAAATTGATTTTGTATAAGAAAAACAGCAGCAATTATATTTGTTTAAACAAAGATGGCAAATTATTTGAGCCAAAAATATTGTATGACAAATGCCCAAAAYGGTCCCAATAGTCCATTACTGTCTCATGACAATGATGACAAGAAAACTGGTTGGGGCCAATTCCCCTCCCGATGTTTCYGTGTCTGGCCTGCATTCTGACTGCAAGAACTGGCTCACTACAAATGCTCCCTATGGAGATGAAAAAGCATATCTGACAAACTAGCTTCCAGGAYCACCAAGCTTATGAAAATCACATAGAAGAACTATGATAAAATATAAGCACCACTAGTTCTAGTACAAGAAGTAGTAGCAGAGGAGGAGGAGTTAGTATATCAATGGTCTGCCAGCAAAATACAGTGACAAAGCTGACAACAAGAAGCTGATCATCTCAATAGCCCATATTGTAGTTTGCAGAGAACATGAACTRCATCAACCTGCTTTTTTTAGAAGAGAGTGGACGCCACAAGCAAGTACCACCAACTCAGAGGTACTCATAGCATTGCTGTTCCACCTCCTCACCATGGGATTCTATAATTTGTCTTTTGAAATTGCTGTAGAGAATGCTGAAGTCAATTCTGACAAAAAGTAGTATGTAAAGTGAAATTTGATCATAGAGATAGTACTACTACAATCAACACAATGATTGCAGGTGACAAAGCNGCTTGCATTGGAATTTCCCTGACTCCTTTGATTTCCTCTGTAACTGTTGTTATTATTATTGCTCCGGTTATTACCTTGGTAATTGTTTCCTCACGGATTGGAAGGACAGTCCCCCCAAAGATGTTCTCCATTGTGTTTCCTGCAGGGCGTTGCATTGACCCTATTCCGTCTTTCTTCTGGGGTCTCATTCTGTCTGCTGTTTCTGTTATTGTTACTGTTGTTGCCGCGTCTCCTTTGTTTCCCATTGTTCCTTCCTCGTTGTCCTGCAATTTTAGATCTTTGTTGCTCTTCATCTGCAATTCCTTTTTGCTCTGTCATGTACTGTACTATTTGCTCGATGGTGTCATTGAGGATGTCTCTTCCACATCTGATGTAGTCATTCTGCCATGGTTTGGGAAAGGATCTGAAAAGAATCTGTTTGACTTCTCTGTAAGATAAAGGCTCCCAAATGCCATGAAGGATGTTGGCTCTGGCACAACAGGTTTCAACTCTATCTGCATGAGCCTGGCAGGAACTGGAGTGGGACTTTCTGAAAAAAAAAAATCTTAATATTATATTTAACCTCGTGAACTAGAAGAGGCACTAGGAAGGCCAGAACCATTGCTTTCGTGAGAAAGAATGCTTCTAGCTGCTCCGAGGGGCGGCGCATCCCTCCGAAGAGTCGTTATGGAGGCGCGACCATGGAGTGGGACTTTCTGATAGCGTCTGATTGCAAATAATCAACAGCTTCATCACGGGCTCTCTTAGATGGTGCATAGAACTTCCTGAAGGTGAGCAGAGCTGTCTTCCACTGTTGCAAATTGGTTCTTGGTACGTCCGCTAGCCTGTTGTTGTTCCACATGCTGTTCCATTTCTGTCTGGGTTTGTGTGCCAGGACCATTTGCCACTTCTTGTCTATCTGATCATCTGGTAGTTCCAAATCCTTTATTGCATCTTCAAAGTCTTCCTGTACATGAAATAGCTCCTGTACTCCATGCTCCCCGGAGAAGCTTAAACAATTCCTGGTCAGCTTTCTTGCTGGGCGTTGAAGGTTCACCATGAGGGAGACTGTCTTCAGTTGGCCCTCTTCAAAGTTGTTTGTTAGGCTGAGACAGGATTGATGTTGTTTGGTAGAGGAGTTGATGTTCTTAGTATTTGGTTTCACCATGGTCGATGTGGTATTTTTGGTTGTTTTTCTTAATGGATGATTAATTTCGATACACAAAAATCAGTTAGTAATTACTGTGCACGAGATTACGTGTACTCTTAGTAAGTGTTTTAAGTGTGTATGAAAATTGAATTATAAGATTAAGATTACCAAGCGCGTTCACGAGAATTCCGAAGTTCCGATTAGATCCTCATGTACACCTGGTAGGGAATCTACATGAAGGTTCTTCTATTCCRGACTCGTGACATCTCTATTCTTTGTGAGGTATTCTCGACTTGATATCTTGGACCTCTTATGATCCTCAATAAGATAGATCCTATGGTACATACATAGGAAGGGTACGTTACGATACGTACGTAGGAATGGTATGTTCGTTCATTCCTATATTCTGATCCGTGACGTACGTATACCAGTTAATCGGTAATAAAATTACACCTAGAATTAACAATTTTGGGCCACATCACTACTGTAACTTTGGCTGACTAGTTCTAAGCCGCTAGAGCATCCTTTGGAATCCCAATGACCTGGATCTTTAAGTGATTGTATCTACTTGGTCTGGGCGCTTAGTCTGGTGGTCTAAAGTTGTTTTTTGATAGAGTTCTGGCCTATTTTCTAACCAGTAGACGGTCTCCACTGGCCAAATTTGGCCATACCAGCTGTTAATGGAGAACCGGCTCCCCCCTGGTCCTTAATCGTGTAACAATGACACACAGCACTCTTCTTAACACTATGACCAAGCATATCCCCAAAGGTGATCTCATTAGAGGCCTTTCCGGAGCTGTTGTATTTAGCTTATTTTGCTGTATTGGGCTCTTTGTGGTGGAAAAAGTGACCGAATAGTAGTAGATCTATGTAGGATCAGTACTAAATACTGGGCTTCAAAATTAACAAAATTAAACGTGATTCTTACTGGTAAATTTTTTTGGGTAAATCCCTTGGAGTAAAATTACTTTTTTTCAAGTAGAGCGCGGTAGGGTTCTTACGGTTAACGCATTTTATTACCAATTAACTGGTACTTCCAATATAGTACGTACGTATGCTTGCATTATAGTGCGTACGTTGCAATATTTCATAAGTCCAGATTGGTTTTTCTAGTACTACTAGTATTACTAGTAGTAGTAGTACTTACCAAAAAAAATTGTCCAAATGCTGGCTGGTAATAGTAGTACTAGACAGGGCACCATGTGAAAGTGATTCGATAGTAGTACTAGTACTGGTGGTGCTGCACTGTTAGAAAAAGTGTTTGGAACTCCTCCTCTCATCCCCTCAGGACTTTTTTTCCACATACACCCCATTGTTCCTTAGTACACCCACTTGCCCATGTGTTTCTGTTACTTTTGGTTGCACTTATGCCACCAGCAGCAGAGTAGATATTTGGTGGTTGCATCTATATCATCATGTATGTTTTACCACCATGATGCACACAGATTGCCCCACGACATTGTACATCACAATTCAAACTTGACAGACTGTTCATTAGTGATGATCCCCTCCCATATATTCTAAAATTTGTAACAGCCACTCTTGTTGATTTAATGACATACTGCCTCACCAGTTTCTAGTTTCTCCTACTTCTAATATATAGTGTAGAACCTTCACCAGTTTGTTTTCATACTACCTACTATGACAACAAAAGGAAGTAATATCTGAAATAAAAAATAGGATTTGGTCTCAAGTCATCCTTTTTTGTTCAATTTGAGCAAGATGAAGAAATCTCTTCACAAAGAAACCAATCACACATACCTCAAGAATATTTTCTAAAATGTCAAAATTTCTTCACTGCTTTGTTGCTCCTGTCTTCTTGCCAAGTTGGAGATTTCCAAAACCAATATTGGACCAATGTCTTCCTTCTGTTCAACTTCTTCAATTTGTATTATTCTTTGTTAACAATACAAGAAAGAACTGCTCTGTCAGACCACAATTTGCTTTCTTGGTGAAATTATTTCCAACCCCCTTGGACATCAATACTACTACTGTTGCTGTTGGTCATGCATCCACAACCCCTCCTTGGAGGCCTCCTTGGAGGGAGATGCTGCCACTTGGTGGAGCAGCTATGAGCATGATTCTTCTCCCCAGAAGTCCTGGTTCTGGTTGTTATAGCACCTCTTCTAGTTCACAAGGTTAAATAGCAAAACCATCTACATGGTGATGTAGATGGTGGTGGTGGTGGTACTAAAATCATCTATTCCTAACTCCTCAATCATGTAGTATTCAATAAAAAATAGTGGTGTCAGTATGAGTACAAAGTGGTAGGGTCCAAAAATCATCTACTGTTTTCCTCACTCCTTGATGTAGTATTCAATAATAAATTGTGGTGTTATGAGTACAACAGGATGTTAAATTGAAGCAAAAACTGCAGTACTCATTTCTAGGAGGCCTTGAGATAAATGTACTGTATGTTAATTTAATGTTCCAAACCCCTTAGTATTTAAAGAAAGTTCAATTGTTATTTTGCGCATATTAGTACTAATTCAAGCAAAAAACTACAGTACTACTCATTTCTACACAGGCCTAGTATGCTGGTGCTAACGTTTGAAAGAATGTTTACATTCCTGTGAAATGTGCTAGTTTTAATTGGTGCACACCAGCACGTAGTAGTACTTTGCACTGTTTGTCTACTGGTGCTGGTAGCATTCATGAATACCAGTAGGATTCTCACAGGGCCCTCCAATAGTTTTTGAGGAAGACAGTTGTCAACCAAGATCAGGGTTTCCCATAGGCTTTTTTCATGCTGTTTAAACAAAAAGAAAGAACAAAGATTTGTAAAAAAATTGACAAATCAAAGAGAACCACCAAGAAGAAGGAGAAGCAATATTCTCCTTATTTCTTTTTGTTTAAACATAACAAAGAAACAAAGATAATATTGCTTGGGCAATACTCTCTTTGTTTCTCTTTGTATGAATGGGAATTGCCCCCATCATTTCACCATGTAAGAATACAGAGAATAGGCCCTATCTTTCATTTTTTGATTTCTTTTCGTTACTCGTGGCCTTCCTTAGCACGTTACGTGCACGTTTCAAGCATGACTCAAGCGCGTGCTCACTCATTCAAGCCATTTTCAACAATTGTGCAAAATGAACTCATNTGAAGTCAATTCTGACAAAAAGTAGTATGTAAAGTGAAATTTGATCATAGAGATAGTACTACTACAATCAACACAATGATTGCAGGTGACAAAGCACCAGAGCCTTGTTCTTGTTTGCAGCAGCAAGAACATGCAGGGCAAGGCTGATGCARTGTGAGATGCTCTGTTTCTATGGGTTACCCAATTCTTTCATCAAAGAGAAAGAKAATGTCAGCAACATTTGAGGGGCAACAGTAACAAGAAGAAGCTGTCAAGCAATGAAAAGACAGGCCAAAAATGAGGTTTGTCAGGGAAGGGTACAACTAGAAGGGTCCAAGGCAAAGATGATCATTGAGTCAATATTTCATAAGTTCAGATTGGTTTTACTAGTAGTGGTACTACTAGTATTACTAGTACTACTAGTAGTACTTACCAAAAAAATGTCCAAATGCTGGCTGGTAATAGTAGTACTAGACAGGGCACCATGTGAAAGTGATTAGATAGTAGTAGTACTGGTGGTGCTGCACTGTTAGAAAAAGTGTTTGGAACTCCTCCTCTCATCCCCTCAGGACTTTTTTCCACATTCACCCCATTTTTCCTTAGTACACCCACTTGCCCATGTGTTTCTGTTACTTTTGGTTGCACTTATGCCACCACCAGCAGAGTAGATATTTGGTGGTTGCATCTATATCATCATGTATGTTTTACCATGATGCACACAGATTGCCCCATGACTTTCTTGTACTACATCACAATTCAAACTTGACAGATTGTTTATCAGTGATGATCCCCTCCCTTATATATTCTCAAATTTGTAACAGCCACTCTTGTTGATTTAATGACATATTTGCACTGTTTGTGTACTGGTGCTGGTAGCATTCATGAATACCAGTAGGATTCTCAAAGGGCCCTCCAATAGTTTTTGAGGAAGACAGTTGTCAGCAAGCAACAAGAACTCATGTTTAAACAAAAAGAAACAAAGATTTGTAAAAAAATTGACAAATCAAAGAGAACCACCAAGAAGGAGAAGCAATATTCTCCTTATTTCTTTTTGTTTAAACATAACAAAGAAACAAAGATAATATTGCTTGGGCAATACTCTCTTTGTTTCTCNAAGAAGGAGAAGCAATATTCTCCTTATTTCTTTTTGTTTAAACATAACAAAGAAACAAAGATAATATTGCTTGGGCAATACTCTCTTTGTTTCTCTTTGTATGAATGGGAATTGCCCCCATCATTTCACCATGTAAGAATACAGAGAATAGGCCCTCTTTCATTTTTTGATTTCTTTTCGTTACTCGTGGCCTTCCTTAGCACGTTACGTGCACGTTTCAAGCATGACTCAAGCGCGTGCTCACTCATTCAAGCCATTTTCAACAATTGTGCAAAATGAACTCATTCAGACAAAGGCACCATCTACGGAAGAGAGAACCGCAACTTGGTCCGTTCGTGTTCAATATGGAWATGCTGCAAAATCATGTTTTCTTCCAATTGGTGCGAAAAAACTTGGTCTTGTGAAATAGTAGTGTAATGGATTTGTTCGAAGCATTTCGGTGTCTGGAGCTTGAGRCGGTGGCATGTGTGAGCTATAACGACTACACAGTKAAAGACGTCGAAAAATGTTTTCGGCAGCAAGCTCTGAAACATCACCCCGATAAAGGTGGTGATACCTCTTATTTTCAGCTACTACAGCGTGCCAAATGTATTTTGCTAGATCATATTTGCGTGAACGGTCGAAGGTCGTCGTTCAAACTAAATGTTGGAAATGATACGAACTCGACAGCAGTGAGTACATTATTGTTCGAACACAAGCATCGAACATGCATTCGCCASGTCTTCGTCCTTCGAGGAAATACAGAGAACGTRATAGCGGCTACAGATGATGGTCTTATYTGTATAGAATCTAAAAGGGASGCGAATCATTGCATTTCGGGTGGTTTTGGAAAGATGATTCCATTCGCTACGCATCGCGATAGTTGCTTCTTTCTATGTTGTACGGCATGCCAGTCAGCCTCAACAAATATTATCTATGCTGGTACGAAGGATGGTTTCGTATACCGGAATGATATCTCGACAAGCCAAATTGCATCATGGCAACATCCGACTAGAAAAAGTATTGTTTCTATATCCACGGTTCAAAATTKGGTGGCGATTGCGATTGTGAATGAAGGGGTGTGTGTACTAAATTTCGAGAATARCATGGATCGACCGACCATCGTWTGGAATACCCCTATTGATACTTGGATGCACGTTGCTCGCCAAAATAAGCCTTCCTGGAACATCTCCCCCGAAACCATACTTCTAGAGAGAGCCTCCAATTCTAATAGTTTGAATTTATGGATYGGAGGGAGCGACAGCAACACCGGAAAACTTTTGATGTGGGAACTTGATATAGAAAAGGATCTATTTGAACGAGATCTTATCGACTCAATGCATGATGATTTCTGTGAATACAGCTTTGGTAGTAGCGAGGGGGACAGCGACAGTGAYGGCAATGTAAGTGYGGAGAATGCYCCTGCAATCAACATGTCGGTTGAAGAAGGACCGATCTATTCTCTGGCAAAACACGATCGGACTGTTGCTGTTACTTCTGGACATCATGTCTTAGTTTGGGACTGCAGAGACAAAGCCGACTCTCRCGATGATCAGCTCTATACAAAAAATCTTACTAGGGTTCAGACAATTGATACCAATAACCAAACTCTTTACACAGTKTGCATGAATGCAAGATTTCTTGCAGCAGCGGGATCTGGGGAATCTATAATGGTTTGGGACAGAACTTTATGGTCTCTACTGCATTACCTTCCATTGCAAATGACTTCAAGTTGTTGCCTTGCAACCAACTGCATAATGACTCTGGACTGGTTTCAAGATGATTCTGGAATGCTGGTGTCTGGGGGTTATGATGGTATTGTAACACTTTGGACTTTGGCAAATAGGCTCAAATAATAATTATTGTAATGGCAATCATACTAGTAGTAATAACCAGCAGCAAAAGTCCTTTGAGAACTAGTACTATTACTGTGTAAATCTACTTTCTTTTGGAGTAACCACTGTGGGTATCTTGCTACTACTACTACTAGTACCCCAGTTCATTATGGTATAGCACCAGAAGAAAGAAAGAATTACATTTAGTGCCACTATGTAGTAATTGAAATAATTGAATACACCCTAGGAGTAGTACTTAAAAATATGATATTGATATTGTTTATGCTTTGGTTGGTAAGAATACTAAAGAAAATGTACTACTACTACTACTACTACTATTAGTACTACTACTATTAGTACTACTACTATTACTACTACTATTAGTACTACTATTAGTACTACTACTACTACTACTACTACTACTACTACTACTACTACTACTACTACTACTACTACTACTACTACTACTACTACTACTACTACTACTACTA